AATATAATGATAATTTGATTTCTCAAAATACCATAATTTTTCTAAAGTCTCTAGGGACTTTTTGTCATTAATGAATTTATATAGATTATAAAATTATTCTTGTTGAAAATAAATAATTTATAAGTTTTGTTTAAATATTCACAACTTTTCTTTTTATATTTGTAATAATACAACAGCAAATAAAAAATTTAACATGTAAAGTTGTGATTTGCTTTTGCATTGTTGCGAATATAAGGAAAAAAATTAAAAATATTTAAACAAAATTTATAAATTATTTATTTTTAATAAAAAAAATTTAATAATTTATATAAATTCATTAATGATAGAAAAGTCTTTAAAGATTTCAAGAAAATCATGACATTTCAAGAGATTAAATTATTATTTATATATTTAAAAAAAATTTTATTGTCATTTTTTCATTAAAACTCTGTAACTTAAACTTGAAACTTTAGTTAGTATAAAAACAGAAACATGAAGGAAGCGATGAAATATTTGGATTAATTAAATCAAAATAAGCTGGAAAGAGAGCCTTTTCCCCCAAAAAGCCTTTATGCTTTTGGTCTCCAATAACTGCTTCATTTAGCTTAACTAAAATAACTTTTTTTTAAATATTAAACACACTGACAATCAGTTATATTTGACATGAAATTGGAGTTTTCATTGGTGTGCTGACCAGTGAACAGTACTCATCGGTGCGCTTTTGGCTGTTGATGTTAAAAAAATAATAATGAAAGAATAAACCATTGATATTTAATTAGGAGGAATAATAGAAGTATGCTAACAAAAATGAAATTAACGAATTGAGACTGATACAATTGAAACGGTGTGAAATACTCCATTCTCGATGGAAAGATCTTGGATAAATATTCCAGGAGCGAATCACGTCAATGATTGACGGAGGCGCATATATTAATAATAAAACAATCACCTTATCAATTAAAAGGAGGACTTACCAAAGCACTGTTAAGGAGAATCGCAACAAACCACCTCCCCCTGCATTAATTCTAGTATCAAGACTTTCTCCGAGAGAGAGAGAGAGAGAGAGAGAGAGAGACTCTTTTTTGTTGTTGAAAACGAATATCTAAATTTATTTAAAGAAATGAAAAATGAAATAATGATTACACATATCATGATAGTGTAATGTCCCTATAATAATTTCATTCCTTCAATTGAACAATTTTATACAATTTTTCTATGATGAATAGTGTCTATAACCCCCAAAGTTATTCATACAATTGTAAAAAAATTGAGGTTAATTAGCTTGATTTCACAATAGAGGTTTGGCTTTTGCTGATGGTTTTTAATGATATGATCTTGTTGTTGCAAAAAATTTCACAATAGAGAACATTGAAAGTTGAAACAAGAAGAGTCCTAATGGTCCTGCATACTAGTGAATATTAGTCTAATTGATAAAGATTTGACCCATTATAATTTACAACATTGTAGTTCAAATATCATTGCCAATATGAAAACTTTGTTGATGGATAATTTGTAAATATTTTTATATGCACTCTTTGAACATGGAGGCATGCCTTAACTCTAGGAAGCCTTCAAACTCAACTTTCTTAATCAGCCTAAATCTCAATCCTTAGATATATATATATATATATATAGCAATTTTATTGAAAAATATCTCCCTTTATCTCAATGGGGGAGATAAGTTTTGATGGCAATGGAATCTAAACCCTGTGCTCACCATAAAATAAAGAATCATGGTGGTCCTAAAAACGTTGTCCAAGTTATTGTTGAGTTAATTATTCAGAAAGCACGCTTCGAAATATTATTCAATAGTTGATGGAATGATTAAAACGTAATTAAGCATTAATTTGGCTGAGGGTATCATGGGGGGACCCTTATTCTCAAGATTGGTCGGTTTGTCATCTCCATGAAATCCACGTCAACTACTCACTCGGTTTCCTGCTTTCTGACAGATAATTCATCTTTTACCTTCTGTTTATTTGACAACAACTCTCTATATATAACTATATATTATTCGTTAATATCTTTTGAAAATATTATCAATTTCAAATATAATCTAACATGGGCATATAAATGAAAATGATTCGAGTCGGTAGAGAGATTGGGTGATGATTGTTCGTAAGGGTGTATTTTTTATCTTAAAAGAAAAAAAAAACAATTGTTTGTTCCTACTTTCTATTTAAGAAAAAGAATTGCTTCTATTACCATTTTGACGTAAGTACGTGCTTTCACATACAAGCTTGCTCAAACATTTCATTTCCTCGAAAATACTTTTTGAAAAACGAGCAAGCTTCCCTTTTAGGCCCAAGGGTATCTTCCTTTCAAAACTATAGCTAGCTAATAGGTCCCACACATTTCACCTAATTATAACCAAGATGACTAATTAGAATTTTTATTCCACATATGAATTGATACATAGTCAGCTAATTATCGATAAATATTAAATAAAATTTTCTGACTCACAATTAAAAATAGATAATTAAAGACCCAGCGAATCAGCAATATACAGAGAGAATTAATAGCTACTGAAATTAAAACTTAATTAGTTTGGAAAAAGATGGGGAAAAAGGTTCAACAGGCCGGTCAAAAAAGTACCGTACGGTAAAAGTATTTACTATTTAATGGCATGCATGCAGAGCAGCAGAAAAAGAGGTACAAAAACCTGGTATATACGCTGTTTCTGGAAAAAAGTTTATTTGTGTTCGTACCAGAGATGTGCGTGTATATTTAATTATTTTGAGATCGCTTCTGCATATACTAGTTCACCGGTCCGGAATATTAATTACTTTTTAAAATCATAAATCATTCACTTTATAAATTATTAATTAATAAAAATATTTTATATCAAATTAAAATTTTTAAATTATTTTTTAACAAAATTATATAATTAATTTATTTTTTATTTAAAAGTCATATTTAAAATTTTATTTAATTTTATTTTTTATATTTTTATTATATTAATATTAATAAAATTGATAGAAATAATTTATAAATAAAATTGAAGACAGTACTCACATTCCACTGGTACTCTCAGTCTCAACTTGACGAAGACATCCATAATAGCGACCTCAACAATGTCAGCAACTCAGCAGTCGATTTCTTTCACATTTATATGTATTTTCACTTCAATCAACGAGTCAAGTATAAACAGTGAGATTCTTGTTGATTATTTGCCTATCTGCCTTGGACTGGGGGCACTTCACGAGGTCATATATTTGAATCAAAGCTTCTTGTCAGATGTTATTATTTATGGTGATATCCCCCAGGATGCAAATTCTTTATAAATCTGACATGATTTAATTTTGTTCAACCTTACCCAAATTTTTCGTGTCTTTATATTATTAAAAAAAAAAAAAGCTTCTCGCCAGATCTGATCTCTCTCGTTATTATTATAGCCCTCAGAACTGGCTTTTGACTTCTTGGTGGCCTTGACAGAACAATAGTTCCAATTCAACAGTTACAGAATATCACTAACAATGAGTGACATAAATAAATCTAGCTTCCTTGTTCACCGTCCTAATTGTCTCTAGTCTTGGTCTAAAACTGAGTTTTTCCTTCCGATACTATTAAAATCAGACGCCTTGTTTATTTATTGAGAAAATTACATACAAGCTGCGTGAAAAAAATTTATTTATAAATAAGTCTCATAAAATTTAAAAATCATAAAACTTGAATATAATTTGAAATTAAAGTTCAAAAATAATAATACGCTTATTAAAAATTACGGTAATAAAATATTGAAATGATGGTTGTAACTTATTAATAAGATAGTTTTGTCAACAATTAATGTTAAACTTTATTAATGATGTATGATTAATTTAATTATTAAATATGTGAAGTTATAATTGTAAAATGTTGAAGTGATAATTTTAAATAACTAGTGATGAATTAGTTGTAAATAATTAGTGTTAAATTTCATCAGTAATGCATGATAGATTTAAATATTAGATGTGCAAAATTACAGTTGTAAAATATTAAAATGATAATTATAAATTATTGATAAGATAGCTGTAAATTATTTGATTGATGTAATATATTTTTATCTTTATACTTTAATTTTAAATTATACTCAAGTCTCAAAGTACTTGACTATAATTTTTAAATTTTATGAGACTTATTTATAAATAAGTTTATTTCACGAGACTTATATATAATTTTTTCTTATTTATTTAATGCATTGCTAGCTTACTAAACATATGTCCGATCTCATTAATCACATTTGTACCTAATCACTCTAATCTCATTAAACCATCACAGTTCAACCCATAGGATATAGAAGTTCTGTTTGAACTCAATTTTTAAAATAAACCATCAGCTTCTAACGCTAATCCCTCTAGATATATAATAAACTTGGAGCGTACCGCGCGTGCATATAATATAATATGCACTTCTTTATTAATTGTGCAGAGCATGTTTAGCATCTAGCTAGCTATAGTGCCTATTGGAATCAAATGATTTAGGGACTGATCCTGGTTCGGCCAATAATGGTTTTTTTTTTTAAAGCAAAACACAGGACATTTTATTAATAACAAAAAAAGAGATTACACTCACTGATAGACTAAGGAAAGCAGAAAATAACGCCTAGGATACAAACTAAAAAACCCAAAGGGAAACAAAAAAAAAAAAACTAGAACAACACCTGCAAAACAAACAAACGTTAGCCAATGCCAGATCTATCAGCCAAACCAGAAGCTAGAATCTTGAGATCCTCCAGTAGAATAGCAAACAGAGATGATGGTGGCTGAGAAAGCCATCCATATGGAACCATAATTTTAAATTAGATAGCTTCAATAACAAGGCAAGAAGACATGTATGTGTACAAGGGGCAAACAATAATTGTGCATATACATGATTATACATATGATAGAAACTTAACTTTATTGCCACCAAAGAAAAAAGAGTTTAAAAAAAAAATGAAGAAACAGTACTGAAGAAAGAGATATGAAAAGAGAGGGGGGAAAAAGCAAAGCAACATGGCCCATAAAATGTCTACTCATGTATGAGCAGCCCAATGACGTCGTGAAATTAAACTCCATCTTCTTCTTCGCTCACATCTCCTATTCCTTTCACCTCAATTACATAACTTCTCACCCCCCCACATTCATTTCAAGGAAGAAAAAAAAAACAAACAATCAATCAAGCCGATCAACCTGATCCAGAAACCGCCATGTCCGAGGGATCGTCGAGCTCCGGAGCAACGCCGGCGCTGAGCCGGTATGAGTCGCAGAAGAGGAGAGATTGGAACACGTTTGGGCAGTACTTGAAGAACCAGAGGCCACCAGTGGCTCTATCACAGTGCAATTGCGGGCACGTTCTGGAGTTTCTGAGGTATCTGGATCAGTTCGGGAAGACCAAGGTTCACGTAGAAGGGTGCATGTTCTACGGCCAGCCAGAGCCTCCGGCGCCGTGCACGTGCCCTCTGAGACAAGCTTGGGGCAGCCTGGATGCCCTCATCGGAAGGCTGAGGGCCGCCTACGAGGAAAACGGTGGGTCCCCTGAGACTAACCCTTTTGCTAGCGGTGCCATAAGAGTGTATCTCCGTGAGGTTAGAGAGTGCCAGGCCAAGGCTCGAGGCATCCCTTACAAGAAGAAGAAGAAGACCGCCAGTAAGGGGAATGAAGAATCAAGCTCTACCAGTAGCACCATCCACTTCTCTTGATCAACGCTTTGCTTATTCAACTATAATGGTAATTGATTTCATACTTTACTTTCACTAATTTCATCTTTATTGGCCGTTCTTGTCTTATATATATACTCTGCCTAATTGCTTGGATTGTCATCATTGATCTTCAGTCGCTATAGCTTATATATGCATTGTCCTGATTAATTTCTCTAGTGCCATATATTCCTCGTGTCACCCATTGTAATGGTCGTGAAGCATACATGCATGTCAGGTGGTTAATAATACGGTTAGCTAGCTAGTATAACTTTTGGATGTTAAACGTTAACATCTACATATATATATATATATATATATATATAACTCCAACAAGAGAAATGAAGAATCCAGCTCTAGGACTGTCCACTTGATGTTAAAGACGTTTCTACTAATATGGTAATTAGTTGAATTCAACACACACACACACACTTTCTCTAACCTGACCATTCTCACTCATCACGCTCTGCTTACTTGGATTATTGAGTCAATAGCGTCAAATTTTATTCCTTATGTCAAGACCTAAGAATTAATTAATTAATTACATGCATATAATGGTGAAGTATTAGCGGATGTTAGGTGATTTTGTTCACTGCAATTAAAGCTATGTTTTTTGGGATGCTTTTTTGAATTATATTTTTTGTATACACACAATATATATATATATAGCCATAACGTCAATATAAAACTAAGAAATAATGGAAGTTAATTAAAACTTGCAATGATTGATCACTTGTTACATAGTACTACAATTGACTTAAAACTCGTGTTTGCGCTTGGATTTACTTTTAATCATCGAACAGGAATTGTGTGCTCCCAAACGTAGGAAGCTAGTCATAGTATTCCTTCATGCACCTTCTATATATGTGTTTACAATACCAAATATATTATGTATATCCATGCATAGGTTACATATGTTATCAGAGCCTTGTGTCACTTCATTAGGTGAGCATGGCTAAATAGATTGTTCGATGTTATTATATTCTATCAACATGATTTCAAACACTTGTTGGTTAAAAAATAAAAAAATCTCAAACGCGCACACAAATTATGACAAGAAAAAAAAAAAAAACTGTAGGCTCCTCATCAGTTAATTGTCTGTTATTTGAATTGCCCTAATTTAACTTTGGATCCCGCGGATTTTGCCTGTCACATGAAGATGGTTTTATAAGTGATGAGATGTCATACACTTCCTTTTGTGACTGAGCATCAAATGAACGAATGATTGAATTCACATGATATATTAAGGTTTTAGCCTTTAGAATCTAAGTAAAATCATCTTTCCGACATGTAAAAACGTTGAAAATGCATCCTTTTTGTAAGGCTTTTTTCAAAACTTTACAATTTTATACTATATCAAGTCATGATTGAGAAGAATCTTTCGGATTATTACTGATACCTTGGAGAAGCCTGATGCTAATTCAATATTAAAATGTTTTGTCAACCTTAACACTGTCTCACCACCTCTATCATGTACCCAATTATATATTCCTATATATTAGTGAAAATCCATGCAAGGGATGATTTGATATATATATATATATATATGTATATATTTATAGGTTCACCATTTGATGCGCTCTTTTATCGTACCTCATCTAGATTTTCATGTCGTCTCAATCTGATTCTGTGGGACAGTTTTTTTAACAGTTTTATTCTCCTGGTCAAGATGCTATTGGATGTTGATCTTATCAATGTCAAGTATAAATAAGTTCGTTTGGGAGAAATATGCTTGGCTTGATGATGTGATAACCAAAAAGGTTCTCACAAGTAATATTAAATTTTTTTATTATAGGAGAAAATCTCTTTACGTACTTGAAGAAAATATGCATTTCTAAAAATTGTGTACGGTGACGACTTACCCCACCTTTTGATTCTTTGAGAATGTTAAATGATTAATTTATAATTGGGCTGTGCGATCATTTTTTTCGTTTGTGAAATATATGTGTACAATTAATTTATAATTAGCCTGTCTACAATTAACTTTTTGTACGTCTTTCTGCTTAGCCTTGCTTGCTAGAGCGTGCATAGTTTATACAGTTTAGATCTGGGAAATTAATATCGGCTTGGAGCTGTTTAGGGTTTTCTTGTTCTTCCTTTTCTTCTTAATATCACGGTGAGTTAAGTAAATCTCCTCCCCAAGTAGAGAAATCGATCTATTTCCCTTTATAGGAGTACTAAAACATTCTAGGTATGTATTGTACCACGTTTTAAACACATGACTAAATAGTTGGTCCACACATGGCACGCACATCATCAGGATTTTTATTATGGTGCAAAAATCTGCAATAACAACAAAAACTTTAGGCTTCAAACTTTGACAGTGCATAGAATATGTCATTTTTGGTCACTGTCATTTAGGAATCTCTACACATGTTAATGTTCCCTCTTTTGTTGTTTTAGTTTTGTTTCTTTATTTATTTATTTTTTCTGTTTCTTTCTTTTTTCGCGTCTTTAAGTTACACAGACATGCATGCTAGTTCTCAACCCTTGTGTTATTTCTTAATTAAAAAGGATTTGACGGACAACTAATTGAAACAGATACTTCTTATTAGTATTTAGTCATTTATTGGTCAAACTAATGATGATTAGTTGATTTAATATGTCCAGAGAATTGTAGCGTACAATCACATTGGAGGGGGTTCTTAATAACAATTCAGTGATGCACAATCTATATGTGAGAGGTTTGGTTTTATGTATCTGATATAAACATCCATGGTATGCACAATGTTAAAATTTTCTGTTGTTTACTTGGGAATTTGTAGCTGCCTGCCGTTGCAAAACATATATCTCAATCAACTGTCAGTTTGTAACTTGTAAAATTTAAACTTTATTTATCTATCTATATATATGCAACTGTACCCACCGATCTGTTCCATTAAAATGTAACATGTATTATTTCTTCAATTACTGTGGGTGCGTGCGAGTGTACTGTCATGAGAAGAGGCCCATCTCTCTTTTACTGACATAAATCTGATATCTTTCAAATGTATAAAGTTCATTTAAAGGAGTGTCTCTAGAACTATTGAGTAAATAAATTTAGACTCTGATGAAGCTCCGGATGGTATTTGTGATGAGTGGTGACTTTACTTTGGATTTTCGAATACTGGATATAGAGAGTTAATCCCAAAATATAATTAAGAATAGTGGATGATAATTTTCAGAGTCTGGTGTCTTCTCATCGACTATATAAAGAAAAGGGAAGTAGACCCTTAGCTTTTTCACTAATTAGGTTTGTACATGCACAATTAGAACACTTGACTATATGATTTGGATTGATTAGTGAGAAAACCTACCAGTTATAAATGATGATCTAAGAAGAAATTAAATTACATTCTTTTCTCCCTCAAGAGTTTATCCCTTTAGCTATATGTGAAGTTTATTACCTAGATTATTGTCATGGAAGCAGAGATATGTTTGGCAATATTGTTCCATTCATTCTAGGTCTTTCGACTTCTGCTTTGACCTCCTCTATTGTGAAGTCAAATAAACTTGAGAGCTCATTTTGTGTGCTATTAATGTGAGCTAATTGAGGGCATCTCTTAATTTGATTCTTTAATGTATATCGCTGAGCTATATAGATTTTCATGCTAATGAATCGGTCATGAGTGAGCAGAAGAAATGACTTATAATGAACTATAATGTTTCCCTATGTACATAACTCTATATATGGAGTCTAAACAAACGTAACTTTTTGATATTGAGAATTTTGAATAGCTAGCATGATTGTTATTGATTCAAAATTATATATCGCTGACTTTGATCGTATGAGTAATATATAATTTCTCCAAGACATCAAAGATTTATGAATGTTTCAGCCCCTTTAACTAATTATTTGAAAGGAAAAATCATGGTTTTTCCATGCATGGCGAATTTGCATTTCCCATGAATCACGGTTTTGCGCGGTCTAATTATTCTCAACTCATACATGTGTCCCTACGTACTCTGCTACGATGTTGTTAATCACTTCCTCTATTATAAACTATTAGACGTTTTTAAAGGATTTTTTTTATTTTAAAATATAAAAAATTTTGGATAGATTAATATTTCATTAGATATGTCAATTTTAATATTATCCTTCTTCTTTTCATAATTAATTTTTGTTTTTTCTCTTTTTAATATATTAAATGGTAAGTATTTTTAAAAGTTTATATTTTTATTTTGAAAAGATAAAGTTCTTAGGTATATTTAATAAGATTTATCGATATGTGAGATTTTATTTAAAAGTGCCTTATAATTTGGAACAGAATGAGTATTATCTTGAGTTTCTAATCACGTATATAACCCATTTTCCTTTCCTTATTTTATTATATCTAACTTAAAATTCTTGAGAAGTTTATATCTATTAAAAATATTTATATTCATTTTTCATATATAGTACCTATTAGTAGATTATTGAATAGCCTTTTATTAAAAATAAACAATAAAACACCCGACAAACAATCAGAATTTAGTTTCTTCTTCCCCCTACCCCCCCTTTCAAGTTCAGATAACATTCGTTCACCTAAACGGCGCTGAGGCCTAATAACAAACACTACAAGCATTTCAGGCACAAGATTAACCATTACCTTAAACGAGCTTGCATTTTTGGACAAAAAGTTGTACCAGACAGACTTTGTGCAGCAAATATAGACACATCCGAAACAGCACCGATCAAAATATCAGTTGTCATTTTATTGAACAAAACTAAACTGCGGTCTTTATATAGATTTTATATTTTATAAAAAGATTAAAATAAATTAGGTAATAGGTTCATTATATTTAGGTTGAGATTGGCCTCTTATTAAAAAAAGAAGAAGTCAAGAATCATAATGACCTCATTAAAGTTAGAAATGAGTCATAAATAATTAATAATTGAATGGCAGCTTCCTCAATTATGGTTGATCAAGTCTCATCTCATCCGAAATAAAAACGCTTAAAAAAAGATTTTACGGGTGATATTTATTTTACTATTATCTCTCATTATTTGACTTCTTAAATAGATTTTCTTCTCTCCCTTACTAATGAAAAGTATTTTTTCTAAGTTTATAAAATTGTAAATCATATTTAATAAATTTCACCAGTAATTATAATTTTTCCAAAAAAAAAATGCCATGCAGATTAGGACGGAAGGAGTGTATATGTATAAGATAAAATTTATACACTTTGATATTTATTTCTAATTAAATCAATACTTACATAATTTTTTATAAATTATTTTTACTATAATAAATTTTGTTATTAATATTATTAATATATTAAAATTTATTTTACTTTATTTGATTGAATAAAATATATTAAATATATAAGACAGGGAAAATGATAATAAATTTTTTTAAATTATATAAATGACAGTTTGATCTCTCAAAATATCATAATTTTTTTAAAATTCTTAAAGACTTTACTATCATTAAAAAATTAATATAAATAACTAAGTTGTCTTTAGTTAACGATTTTAAATGCGAACTTATAAATTGTTATTACATGATTTTTAAAAAAAAAAATTATAAATCTTAAAACAAAACTTATGAATGATAATTAATGTTTACAATACTTAAAGAATATCATGATTTCAAATATAAATTTGCAAATTAATGTTAAATTCTTACAATTTTACAAAGAAAAGTTGTAAATTTTAAAACAAATCTTATAAATGATAATTAATATTTAAACTAAAGATAATTTAATTATTTATATTAATTTTTTAATGACAAAAAAGATCTTAAAAATTTTATTCATATTATAATATTTTAAAAAATTAAATTATTATTTATATAATTTGAAGAGATTTATTGTCATTCCTCCTGTACAACAAGCTATATATTGGGTCAGCCCAATCTAAACCCACCCATTTTCAAAGGCTAGGCTCTAAGCAAACACCCAAGAGAATGACAAAGTCACTAACAAACCCCAGAGAATGATGGGCTCCGATTGGGCTGCTACGAGATTAAATTAGATTAAATTTGCTTGAGTCCAAGTTTGGCCCTTTTTTCCGGTGACAAAAATGGGCAATTGATTAGGCAATTGTTAGGCCACACAAGACTTGTTGAGTTCAACAAAATAACAAACAGGGTTAAAAAAAAAAATTACCAAGGAAAACTAAGACATAAAAAAAAAACAAAACAGCACTATTATATCGTAATAATGTAGAAAATAAAGCAATGAACATAGGATTGAAAATTGATATGAATTTAAGAAATAAGATTTCCATTTGAGCAGGCCTTGACAGCCTTCTAGTTCGCTATACCTTCCGCTAATTCTCAACCAGTAATAAAAGACACTAACTTTAATTCACAAGGGTAAGTGCCATGTAAATAGATACATCCAAACTTGACCCAAAAATACATTTCCTAGACTAGATTCCTTTCATCCGAAAAAAGAGGACCTATATTTTTCATATCCAAAGCTAAATTCTATGTATTTCCCCACTGCAGGATTCTCCATCGCCGCTTATTATGAGCAACTGTCTGTTAAGAGCAAAATCAAAACAAAAAAATTAGATGAATAAAAGTAAGTTAAATCTCCTATCGCTCATAATTGTATGATAATAATGCAAAGACAAGAACACTCATAATAATGCAATCAATTCCAAATGTTCAGTCCACAGAGAAATTAGGGTACATACTCAAGGTTACTGGCGTATTCTTAAGAACTGACTTGATTTAAGGTATTTTGATAATAACTTTTTGGGGGCAAAAAATCAATAAAGAAGTGCCATCTCTCTGATTCAATATTTGATATCTCACAAACATGGGCATATATTGTGTATAATTTTAAAGGTCCTACCTACCTTCTATTTATGGCTTAAGGATGGAAGTTTAGGAATTAGTACAAACAAACAAGGACTTAACTATCGTTCAAAAGTGTTTAAAGTAACAATGGGAAGGACGTAGACATGCATGAGTAATAAATAGATAGAAACAGTGTGCGTGCTCCTAATTTGCATTTATCACCAAGTCCTTAACAGAAAATGAAAATTACATGAAACTAAGGAACAATTCATTTTTAGCACCGACTACATGTTGAATCATTTTATAGACAACGTGCATATGTAAACATCAATACGCATGGGCACTCAAACTTTGAGACAAGTGCACATGAGACAAAAAATTACACAATTTTTTTAGGGGTGTGTCAAAATGTAGAACACACCGGAGAAATCTAATGCGACTGCAACATTGTTTAACTTGTCTAATCATGAACGGTGAAGGAGAGCCAAATATCTAATCTTAAGCTACTGACAAAAGGTTAGAAAGCAAAGTTTAGAAATAATCTAGTATGTAGTAGAGTGCTTGTGAGCTAGAGCAAGAATAATGATCATCAAATCCAACTAGGATTGGAAAGAACCAAGAAGAAGAGATGAGAATGAAAAGGAGAGTGAAAGAGGAGAAATATTAAGCATAAGAGACATGAACTAGCTTCTGCCTTTACTGATGTGCCGGTGTCCTATTACAAGATGCACCAACAAAAATGGTCCAAGTTGTAAATGCAAAAGTGTGCCATATCAATACTTAAACACCAAAGTGTTGCATACAAGACACTGCTCCACCATGTGCCGTTGTGCCCCGTTAAAAAATATGCTATTAACATACTAAATTGTGCATTTTTATCCCTAAAAACTCATTTTCTTCATGAGGAGATGGTGTATATTCTATGTGTAATATATATAACCATTAAAACATGTTTGTGTTTATGGAATGACCCATTTTTAGCAATAGATATTGACGAATTTACATTTGGCTGACTTTGTATTCAATCACTTGTGGCACTAAATTAGCAACCATCTGATTCCATGTCACTAAAATTGGACAATTTTGGTAAAATCATGGCCTTCAACCAAGAAGTAACACCAAACTATAAGCTTACTGCCCAGTGCCCACCAGATTACTATATGTCAAAAAATAAAATCTTCATTCTAAATTACAGGAGGGTAGATTGGAGCACAATATAACAAAGATCTTGTTTCTTGAATAAGATCTAAGTAAAGAACAGTTTGAACGTTTCCTAGCCAATGGTTAGTCAAGTATGACCCATACAGTAGAATGTAGAGCTACATTTTGGCATGCTGGCATGCCACAATTCATTCATTTCAGAAGCCAAAAAGCGGGGGAAATCTAAGTTCAAGGTAGCATACAAGATGGGCGAAGCAATCAGTACAACTGGAGCAGACCCTCATGATCCAAGTAAGAGGTACTTATGAATTGTGAGTGAAGGCTACTTGAATCTCTCAATCTATATCAATACTAGAGAACGAACGAGAGACATGAAACCAATTTTTAGCACATCACAACACAAGGGTCAACTTGATTGAACTAGACAACATATTTGATTAAACTAAAATAGTTTACATTAAAAAAATTTATGCAAATATCAAAAGACATGTAAAATGAAAAATATTTAACATGACAAAGGATCAAAAGATATGAGATAATCTGCCAAGTGATTTCCAAATAGTATTAAGTATTTATGTTTGTTCACTACATCAAACTAAGCGATGACTCAAACACCAACACAGAGCTAACATACCCAAGAAATGCATTTTCCATCAGAAATTTGATGAAAATTAGGAAAGAAATTAGATGAAAAATTAGGAACCAAATGATATCAAATTGATCTAATATCTCTATAACTAAAACACCCCCATCACAACTTAAGTAATTCCGAAATGAACGCCTATAGCAAAATGATATTGCTATCAAGTTCCCACTTTCTTTCCTATACCAATACGCATTACTTAAAGTCACTGAAGAATTCTTATTTCCCACGCGGCAAACCACAAACAACAGCACGAACCCAAGACACCAGTTTAGTATAGAGTTCAAGCATCAAATTGAAGCCACATTTAAGGGGGTCTAAGCTGACATAACAGTAACATGAAATTAGAAGAACTAAGCAAAAAGGCGCGCTGTAGCATTTGCAGTGATGGCTCTAGTGATAAGACTCACCAGCCTGAGAAGATCGCTTGGCGCGCTTGATTTTTTGAAGCTGGACCTGCGTTTCCATGAAAAGCTCCATCCGTTGGTACTCCAAATCCTTAGCAAATTGCATCCTCTGTTTCTCTAACTCCACCATTTGCCTTTGCTTCGCCGCCTCTACTCGCTCGTATATCTCCCCGAACCTCTCTATTGCTTGTGCCAGCTCTCTGTATCCGAATTCTAAATCTCTATCGCTTTCCCTCTTTCTTTCTCTTTCTCTTCCTCTCTTCCTACTTTCACTGGCACTACTTGACCTCGATTCATCCGAATCGTCACTACCTGCATCCCCTGCTTCGGCCGCAGCTGCAGCTGCCGCTGCGAAAGCTGAGAAGTTCCGGCGAAAAGATGAATCTTTCATGCTCACCGGTGCCGTGGCCGGTAACGCCGGCCGTTTTTGAGTGGCGGATCGGGGGCCGACCGGCACATGCGAGATTACCCAGGCCGGAGACTTAGCGGGAGGGGAGCTACGGCGGCCACTGTCAATCGCCGGAGGAAGTCTCTTAACTGGAAAGGTATCGCCGATTAGAGCGTCAAGGCGGGCGAAGAAGGGCCAAGGGCTAGTGTAGTTCCCGTCGAAATCGATGACCTTGTTCTTCTCGATCTTGTACTTCTTCTTCAGAGTGTCGATGCGGTTCTTGCACTGGACGTCAGTTCGGCGCGCCTTCTTGACGTGGCCGTGATTGGCGTTAACAGCGTCGGCGACCTCTTGCCAGTGCTTCTGACGGAGGTTCCCTCGATTGAGCTCGAGGTGATGTTCGCCCCAAGCATCGATGAGAGTGAAGGTGGCGTCCTCACCCCAGCAGTCTTCCCGTCCGGGAAATGGCGACGACCGGGACGGAGCAGTAGAGGTGGGCGACGGAGCTCCCGTGAGGGAGTCCATGAGGGACGCAGTACTGAGGTGGCGGAGTATAATTGGAGAAGCACAAGCGGTGCGGTTATGCTTTTAGCAAGCACTGCCGGCGTTGAAAGGAAGAAATGGTTCTCAGGTCAGACAATATGGTGACTCCAACTCGGAAACTTGCCAGCGCCAATGTACGATGATAGCCGATCACCGTGCGGGAAACTGCCTTTTTTGGATTTTTGATCGAAATTTTGCCTAGCAATGCTAGTCGGCTTATGGGCCAAGCCCATTTTGAAATTTCATCTTAATGGGCTGGGCTCTTGATCTTGGGCTTTGAAACTAGTTAACGCGATTGACCGTTTGTGGAAGGACGAGGGAGTTATATATATATATATATATATATATTTTCCCCTTCACGACCACAACCTAAAAGACCACTTGGTCCAACTTGCCCAAGATCATGACCCGAAATAGTCTTAAGGATTTTTTTTTTTTAATCCCTCATGCAATGTGCATCAAGGTAAATCATAGTCCGCTATGTATACTAATACTTCCTATAGATATCGGCGTCTGGGAGAATATGGTCTCTGAACTTCGTAAAATGATCCGTAAAAAAGAGGATGTCCGTTATCCACCCTGAACAGAGAAGACAAGAATGTGTGATGGCGGGGGAAAAATGTCTATTCATAGCACAGCGCCTGAACAAATGATGAGATCTTTCTCTAAAAAGGGCAATGCTGGGACCAGGGAGTTAGCTGAACATGCCTGCGTTTCACACAAGTCACCACCCATTTTTAAGTCAACAATATAACATCCAATAATGACAGAATCTAAAAACTCGGATCGGAAATATTTTGACTATTTTCATTGCTCAGAGAAGTGAAACAGAATTCATCTAGTTTTCATGGCTCAAAACGAAGACAGGTGATGGATGAAAAAAATCACAATAGTAATCTGCAGCAGCATCAGCCGAGGGTGCCTCGCCAGGTCAGTGGCGAACGGAGGACCTAAGCTCAATAGGGGCAATATTTATATTTTAATTATTATTATCATTACTTAAAAAGTATATTTAAATGTTATATTAAGTACCTTAAAATTTTATTAAAAATTATATTTTTCATTTAAAAGTTCTAAAAATATAAAACCTTTATACACTAAATCATTTTTATCCCCTTTTAACTAACTATAAACAACGGAGTAAATGATCATGAACTCATACTTACAAATTAAACAAATACATTAAATTAAATAATTTCATTAAAACACACACACACAATGTCACTCAAGCCTTAGCTATCCCATTCTCTCCATTTACTCTAGTTTCAAGTTCCCATGATCTCTCTCCTCTCATTTACTGTCTTGTCCTTCTATGTGTTTTATTTAAAAAAAAAAAAATCGCTCTTTATTTCACATCTCTCTTTCTCACCTCTTTCTTTCTCACGCAATCCCTCTCTCCTACACAGTTCTTCTTCAAACATTATAATCTGAAACTAATAGTCTCTCATTTCTTGCATGGAAACTTAATGTGGAACCCATTATTGAAGTATAAAGCTTTTGAAAGAATCTAAAATGCTTCGTCTGTCAGCTCCAATTCTCGAATATACTTTCTCTATCATTGTGTTTCTTCAAATTTTTCATTACAGTAGGTTCAAACTTGCAGAGAATGGGGGAGCCTTATATAAATTTCTCTCACCAACATGGCATTTTCAGAGATTATGCCCCCCCCTTACGTTAACGTGCGTCCGCCACCGCGCAAGGTGACAACTCTACCAAAAGTTTTTATGTACAAAGATAAAAGGATGTAGTATTAGCACAGAGAGTATTCGCAGTCAAGCAGACGAGAAAGGATGTCTTCACAACTTGGCCGCTTATGAGGTTCTGTCCAGCAATCTGCACATGAGGGAGGAAAAAACATTTAAAATGGCGATCAGCCGACAGGTCTAAATTCAGCCATCGTGGTATGATGAAACGCGAAAAATAAAAGGATCATAAATATTTTGGCAGTTGCAGAGACCTGAAATCAGCCTGCCCAGCGGCCCCTCAGGAATCTCTAGCCTAGATCCCTCATTAGCAACGGTATAAATCACCTGATCAACAGAGAAAGATGATCCAACATCAGAGATTGAAAATTTCGGACCTCGAGAGGAAAACTTTCAACGAGCAATACAGAAACTGAAAGCCGCAAAGTGTGTACCCTCTCTGGTGGTACACCTTCCCATGGCCTATCTAAAGTGCAAAGCTCCCACATTATGACCCCCAGGCTAAAGATATCACATTTTTCTGTGAATGGTTCATTTCGAATAAGTTCAGGAGCCATCCATTCAGGAGTCCCCGCTGACGAAGAATCTTTCATGGGAGAATCTGTCATTATTCTTGAAAGCCCAAAATCACAGATCTTCACAGTCCAATGCTTATTCACAAGACAATTTGCACTTTTCAGGTCACGGTGAACTATCTTCATACGATGTATGCACATCAACCCCCTACGCCAACAGGATGTTCTTGTAAATGTAAAGTAATAGATCATATGTAATCATTTCATCGTCAGCCTGCAACTAATTAAAAAGAACTACACTTTTTGGACCAACATTAAAAGAACTAGAGATTTTTTTTTTTTTTTTTTTTTTACCAAAGCCAAAAGAGCTAGACTTAACCAAAGCATTTTATATCTTTGCTATCAAGATTTCCGATTAGAATACGATAATCGTGTAATTTTCTGAAAAAATCACATGACAGGTCTATAATTTAATTGAAAACCATACGCTTGTCTTACCCCCCCCCCCGGGTTTTTTCTTTTTTTTTGGGGGGGGGGGGGGACTAGTCATGTTATAATTACAGAACCTGGTAAAAAAGATACAAAAGCTTTTTACCCTTTTCAAAACTCTGCAAGACTTGAAAATGACATTTCTATTATCCAGGACAAACGTCTATGGAAAAAGATTATAACCCTATAAAATAAATTCCCCAGGTGAAAATAAATGGGCAAGGAAATCTTCTAGTGATTTGTTATTTATTTATTTATTTATTTTCGAATAAAAGTTGCAAGCTTAAAGCCTAGGGAGAATTACGTAAAATAAAGTCCAATAATACAATCACAAAAAAATACACCACCAATTAACTGATAGCTAGTGATTTGTTATTGGGCGACAACAAATGCAAAAGCCACAGCATGGAACATTAGTTAAGCATGAATTCCAATGAAAATGAAATGATTTTGAAAGTTACAGATTGGCAGAAAACTTACCTGCATATATCCCGCAACATCTTCAGTCTTCTCCGCCAACTAAGCTTCTTCTTTTGACCGCTCGAATGGATCAAGTAATACAAAGATCCCATCTCCATATACTCAGTAACCATTGACAAACGCGGAGGCTTTGTGCATGCACCAAGAAATAAAATAACTGCATAAAATATGATCTTGCAATAAATAACTGTTGGACTCAAAGAGAACATGTACATGAAATAACGTTTCAACTATATAGGAATAGCAAGTACATGTTCATGCGTACCGTTAGGATGTCGAAGCCGGCTGGACAAAGACAAATACACATACAAAAGAACAGAGCATGGTAGTTAGAAAATGTTACGCAGAAAAAAAAAATGATGTCAAGTGATATTTTGAGCAACAAGATACCTGAGAATCGTTATCTCATTGCAGAAATCTTCCATGTTTTCAGTAGTCAAATCTTGCTCCAGAAAAACCTTTATGGCAACATCTGTCCCATTCCATATGCCTCGGAATACTTCTCCGAAAAAACCTGAAAAATAACACATGAATGGTCCAGCAGCAAAATTCAGCGTCAGTCACCTAATAAATAAATTACTTGTCATGTCAATCTCTATCTCCTTTCTCAATTCATGGTTCAGATTCAAAAATGTAATTACTCATTACGTCTTTTCTCTTTATGATTTAGAGTAGCCAAAAAGCCTGGGGGCAGATTCATGTGTTGCCAGCTGTTCTCTCGGTTTTCTTCTAAGGAAAAATAATCTCCGCATTATATATATATATATATATGACTTGTCTATGAGAACAAGAGCAAATAAAATTACAACGTTGGGACAAGACTTAGATCATCAGTAAAGGGCAATCCCTTGAAACAGCCATTAACTAAACAACTTCAACAAGCCAAAAGGCCAATTACTTAAGTTGGTTGGGAAACACTGCCAGGTAAAAAGAAAAACTAACACTAAAGTCTCCATCATTTGGATAACCAGGCACCAGACAAGCCATCATTTCCCTGATTCAAAATTTATGTGATACATACTTTTCTATGGTATCATCCTCAATGTCCGGTGACTTCTCATTTCTCAGTCTTTCACAGACACAGGATCTTGATAGAGAGTGGATTACATTTGACTCCTGTACTTCAACTTCATTTTGGATATGCTTCCCAACATCTTCTGATGCTTCTTCATTTATACTAATTGAGGGCTTAACAAACTAACTGATTACCAATGTTAACTAATCCAACTAATCCTACAAAACACCACGTCTAAAAATTCATTCATTACACATTTGAACTTTAATCAACTCCTTGCTAACAATACAAATCTCCACTAGATATTCACCTATTGCATATCCAGAAACCTAAGGATTGTTTCAAAGTTAACTGGCCAAACCCAGAGCCACCAAAGGTAAGTATATTCCAAACTCAAAGCATATAACAACTTGTTGTCTCAAAAATCCATAAGCTCAATGTTTTCTTAATTTAAGTCTCATTAATTTTCAAGTTCTTCATTTTAAATTCTTCAAATTTGATTTCTTTGCCTGCATGCAAAGTATTATAATTCTTCCCTGAGCTTGTCAGTGGAAATTAAGGGGGTTCAGGACAGTTGGGAAAAAGGGACGGCATTTAGGGATTTAACTGTACACCTCTATTAGAATTCATCCATGCCGTCATCTACATATCCTTTCTCTAGTTATGCAAACAAATGTGTACAGTTAATCCTCTAATACCCCAGTCCCTATTGATCTAATTACCGTTAAGCGTGAACCACCTCAATTTCAATGTAACAACACTACAACCTTTACCAATGGTTACAATTAGGATTCTCCTTGTTGCTCCTTTAAATAAGGTCCAAATGCTGAAACACGCTCAAGTCTTGAAATGAATAGCTAAAAGGGACATAAAATTGTCCTTTCTGTCAAATGGAAGAATTAGATTTTAGTTGCATAGATTTTTTTTTCCTCTTTTTTTTTGAATATAATTATTTTCTTTATTGAGGAAAAATACAAGCATTCTTCTATAGCGCTACCGGATTAGCTTCTTCAACAGAAAAGTAAATATAAAAAAACTGGGGATTTTCCCTTTTGGTTATGCTGGATCTGTCAAAACCCAGCTCACGAATGCAGAAACCAGGCACATTCAGATAACGTAAGGTAATACTCACCAATCCCAACACGAGTTCCAACAGTTAGTTCTGAAAAGTCTATATTCCATTCTTCATATGGCAACAGAGGTTTATTATTGAACATTGAAGACTTGAGGACTTTGTTCCATGTTGCCTGTAGCTCATTACTTACTCCATATCCTGATGGTCCACTTCTCCCAGATGCTTCGACTCTATATTCATGTGGCGAAGAGGGTAATGATATTGCCTTTTGAGAAGTCTCTTGGTCTTGCTTTAGAGAATATAAAGCAGACCCTTCATCATGACCAAGATGGAAATTGGAAACCTGTCATATGCAGAATCATAATCACATACAGGACATAAAAGATAAATAAAATGAATTTACTAGGAAAATACCCCATCCCAGCACCCTGAAAAGAAAGATTAAAGACCAGAAAACTTTGGTGTGCAAAAGAAGGTAAACGGTCCATCTTTCTCATAAATAAAACTACACGTGATTTTATTATCAACTTATCATAAATAATAAAAATTTAAATAATTTAAGCATGCACGTTAATCAGCAGGAGTGTAATTTGATGATACCATAAATTGCAACGGAGATGGAGCACACATGAAAGTATATTGAATCTAGTAAATTTTAGAGTGTCCTCTTTTCCATACAATTTAACCATAATATTCACAGAAATAATATAAGAAACAGCGCAACAAAGGAAAATTCTTAAGATGACACTTCGACAGCCATAACTACTCTTTAAGTAATTTAAAAGGCCAGGAAAAAAAAGAGGAGCGAAGAAATATATTCTTCTAACAAAGACGCTCTATTGGAAAAATAAATCATCTTGGCTTTTGGAACAATAAATCAATGATATATAGTAAAGACTCATATAAGATGAAGAGGAGATGGGCAGAGAAAGTTTTATTTCAATAATAGCATATTTCATGGTTACCACCCGAATAAAGACATACATTTTTCTGAAGATCACCGCCACTGCTTCTATCAGTTGGAGAATTTGAGAAGGATCGATCATCCCTCTGCTCTCTCAAAAGACGATTCTGCTTTAGTGTTTCATTCATTGCCCGTACAGCCCTACAAGAAATTAGATGCTGAGTTATCACAGTGCAAACAAAACTTACAAATCAGTACAGACAGTACTCGCACATGTCAATAGGAGTTAACAGATGACTTTGCATAGAGGAAGTGGAAACAAAGAATTCTTTGTAAGCACAAGACTAAATCACAAAACGTTTTTGCATCCTTCCCATTTGTTTTTTAAGTTATCTTCTACCTACAATGAATCGAATTAATTCATAATGAAGTTTAAATTCAACCAAAGTTAGCCCATTATATATTCACAACCTACTATTGTTTTCAAAGGATAAATTAATAAAAATATGAATGCTTAACAGGGAAATAAAAACCTCCAAAAACAGGAAAGCAAGTAGGTAAGTAAATAATACGTGTTGAAAAAATTATGAGCAAGGAAAACCTTCAGAAAAAGGCTCCCTAATCCCTTTCCCAAAGGAACCCACTTTTAAAACTCTTGACCTGGAAGCCGCAACAAAGCTACCAGATAAAAAGCCTATTCCATAAAAGATGAAGTGAATATGTTTGACTAAAATTCCTTGTCATGCTCAAGCCAAGCGCATCATAGCAAAGCAGAACAAATTCAAATGAGAAGTTTATAAAGAAATTATATTTGAATTATTTCCACTCATGTGCCACGGAAGACTTAAAATTACTAAAATTAAGTAACATGCAAGAAGTGGCAGAAGATGCTTTCGCCGAGTCTTTGCAGCCAAACTTTATAAAGGAAAAGGCTAGTCCAGAGCTGTCCTTATCATTCATACATGAATATAATTTCTATCAGTTTAGTCTAGCAAAATACAACAGGCCAATTCAAGCATTGGGATAACAAAAAGAATATTTTGCAAATGCAAGTAAAGAATAACAAAGAAAAATACAGCTTAGTCAAAACTTGAATCCAAAAGAATAATGGTGCAGTGATCAACCTTACGATATCATCACCAATTTCTGGTGTAATGCTGATGCTTCTTCTTCTGATCCTACGAGCTTCCGATAAGGGTGCACCATCTGACCTATAGCTGCATCTCAAAAATGAATAAATTCATCTTTTAAATCATACAATTAAAAAATCATGACATGAGATAGTAAAGAACATAGATCAAATAAATTGATAGATTATTCAACAAATTTTCATAGAGAAGAGGTGACCACATATGAGCAATTGCAGTAAATGTTGTAATCTGACTATTGCCACTTAAACCTACTTAATTAGCATCCAATGTCATAGTAGAATGAGAGGGTAGATGCACTCATCAAGGCAATACTCTATATGCCACAAAAGTAACTACTTGTTGTAACAACATACTAATGATTATGATAAAAAGAAAATCATCTCATAATTTCCTGCTCATCTAGGGTGATTGTCAGTTTCTATTTAATTTATTTAGGCCATCTCAGTTTTTGTCAACACTGGCAGCTCATTAGAAAGACTAGGGAAACCAATCTCAACCCATTGCTTTAAAAACTCAACTGGTGCCAAATATGAAGATATCAAAGATTAATGCAACATAAACTAGAGTTGTCTTGGTTGTTAAGATGGTACGAGCACCCTACATCCAGACAGTCAAAAGTTCAATCCTAGTTGCCTCCCATTCTTCCAAGTAAAATTATGTTTCAGCCCAAATTATGGTGGGCCTTGCTTTGTCCACACGTTAAGCTCAAAGGCCATTAAGCATGGAGCATGTTATAGATATAAATCAAATGATAAAACCTTCACTTAGCAGTTTGAAATTTTGTGCAAACTGGTCTTTGACATAATAATAACAGATGCATGCCTAACGTTGCATATCATCTGCTTATAATATAAAAACTCAAACAACTTGTATTGTTTATGAGTCATAAATAGTGCAACTCATCTTCTAAACTTTATGCAGTACCGAACCCACAATAGTTAGCCAATATACTGTGCAAATGACTAATACAGTATTATATATCCGGTGCTGCATGAGAAAGAGAAAAATAACTATTACTACCTCTTGTCCTCATAATGCAAAGAAAACAGAAAAGCAAAAAAGGCAGTAATTCTCCTTGATGACACGATTGTAACAAGTAAATGCTCCACCATTAAATCTATAATCATAAACCTCAAGAGGCAACAAGTCAATCACAAGCTCTTTTCAATTGCTTCATGGATCCAACAAAGATAGGGAAAACATGACAGAGCAAACCAGACATTAGGTATAGAAGAGGTTGAAGAACTCATGAGAGAAAATGATTTGTATTTAATAAAACAAGAGACAACCCATAGACAAAAATTGAAGTGGAAACTAAAGTAGCTAACACCTAATCACTAGTATGAGACTTCAAAAGACATACACCCTAAAACTATATATCAGAGTAGAAGCCTATACTATGGAAATATAAAGGTAGGAACCTTGATGTTGCCCCATCATCAGCAAAATCTCTAAATGTTTTCCTATCACCGCTAAGCATGGACCCCGCACGTGCTCGAAATGAGGGATGTTCTGGACTGCAAAACCAAACGCATTTGAAGGGAAAAGAGAAGGATATAAATTACAAAAATACTAAAGTATATCAGTCTGTTGAACTTCAACAAAAAAAAAAATATATTAGAACCCTTCCACTAGATTTGGAATGATAACAACTACATTGACCGATTAGTAAGAATAATTGGCCTGTCCTAGGATCAAATGGTGATGAGGGTGCATTACTATTGAGACAGCAGAGAAGGTATTGCTTTCACTGGGGGGAAAGTATGTTGAAAACAAGGTTCGACCATTGAATTAGATGCACATGCACATGCACTTACAATACATGGTCAAGATTTGATGTCCAGTCCTCAGAGGCTTTAAATAGATATGCCTTATCCAAAATAAAATGGCAATTCATACATAACAGTTGGCAACTTGGCATGCTACAGATACATCCCATATCACCCCAAGGCTTCATCAAATCAGCCAATTGAGCAAAGTAGATCAAACATTTACGCCAAATCAATCTAAAGCAGCAGTACTGAGTCAAATATAGCAACAATTATTAAAAAAAGATATTTGCTCATAACAGCATGATTACTAAGCAATATTATGTTTCTAATAAACATTGGGCCCAATTTCATTTTTATTTTCAACATTGCAATTTCAACAAGGACTATTTCTCCAACCATAATGTAGTGCAGATAATCGATTTGATGTCATCCTGTGCCAGATTGTAAACATCAAAGTCAACATATAAGAATCAACATCAAAAATCGAAATAGTCAACCAAGAATTAGTCACCAAACCTCCATCTCCTGAACACGTGAGCTTCCAAAGAGAAATAGACCTTACCCTCTAGAACAGTATTATTAACGTCAACTTCTAGCCTTTGTCAGAAATAACTATCTGACACTCATCATCATTTTCTCCTACATCCTGGTATCATCCTTCACCTTCCCTGCATCCTCTATGTTACTTCTAATAGAAACTCTCAATCCATCAGACCCGACCAAGCATGTCTGCCTTAAATTATGAAGAGATATGGCAAATAGAAAAGCCCACCTCTGGTACTTTCAAGAATCACTTATTCCAATAGATGAAGAATAGTAAGATACTGCCTTTTGAATATAATATAATCTCAGCAAATTTCACAATTGTCGTCTTGCCTCCTACAAGTACAGATTTTCTCGCAAACAATACTGTGTGATCTATGTATTATTATAGCGTTGAACACAATAGCTTTTTGATATCCTAAAACTTGATAAAAAGAAAAGACAGAGACCAAGACAGAAAAAGTTATTCCAGAGCCAAAATTACCACAATGCCATCCAAGGTAAATTACAGGCTAAAATAGTAAAATCCAACCAGTTAAAGTCAAAGTTTTGAAGGACAATAATCAACAAAATATACAAAACCAAAATATGACGATTAATACAGAACCACATAGGTATACTCATGTCAATCTAGAAGACAAGGTAACTCTATATAACCTTGAGCTAGCTGTCCTCTGTTCAGCAATGACCCTTCTCCGACTACGCCGACCAAATGCAGTTGCAATGTTGGGTTCACTATGAGACAAACTGAAGGAATTGACAAAAAAATTGAACAAGAACGAGTTGGTATAGTACATATTTTTAATTCCCAGCCAAAACGTTTCACAAATTATACACAAATTGACCCAAATGAAAGAACATTCAAAAGCAAAAAAGAGATTACAACAACAGCAACTGAAAAAGAAAACAGCTAAATATTGCAAACATTCAAATCCTGTGGATAGAAATTTACCTCAATTTATTGTCCAGAATGACATTTGAACGTAACATTGTATTTCGTAAAGAAATGCCAGATAAATTTGAAGATGCTTCATGTCTTCTGTGAAATTGGAGATTTTCTTCTCTTTCAGCACTGTATAATAGAAACAAGGAAATTAATACCAGTCCCCTGCTAACTCTTGTAACTGGCATAACAAATATACAGGCCACAAGATCTTCTACACAGAATCTCACAATTCATGTTTTAGTAAACAGACAGAAGTATGTCCAAGAAAAAAAAAACAAAAAGGTAGGAATTTATATTTGACCAATGATCAGCATGTAGCTTGAATATAATTGGGCCAATGCATAATCAGAAGTTGAGATCAAATGCATAAAATCATTAACAAGCACTGTTTCCAGACCTGTCAATATCTGCTCTCTCTGAAACCCCATATAAAGGACTGTTGGGTTCTAATGGCGAGTCACAGGAATCATTCTCTGCAGAATCACTCTCTCCTGCTGCAGAAATATGTGTCATAAAAATTGCCTTGGTTGATTGTGGATATAATTGGCCAGGGAATCGCATGAGATCAACCAATAGCTCCACAGAATTTAATACAACCATGACAGACAAATGCTTGTATGAATCTGCACATTCAAGGACCCCATCGTTTGGCAAACCCTGATAAGGAGAATGATAAAAAAGATGTATCCTTCAACAATTATGCATGATGATAAAAATAATAATAATAATATATTTGTGATTTCTTTACCAAACAAACTTAGCAACAATATTTGAAACATTGATAACCAAGTACCAAGTGTTTGGCAGGGAGTGATTATGCCAACAAAAGTTAGAGCTTACCACCATTAGTTTACTTTCAAGTCCTACAGTATCTGCTAAAACTTTAAATAAGATTGCTCGAGGTCGGCATGAACCATGCTTTATCTGCCCCAGCAACTGGAGGCTTCGATTCTCAATTATGTGGGAGGTTTCTTCCAGCGCAGCTTTTGCAGGACTTTCTACATTAGGCCGCTTGTAAAAATCAGAAACCTGCACAGATAATGAGGTCAACAGAAACACAAAATACCTTGTACTAAAAAATAAAGTAAACAGTAAATAGAGGCAATGAAAAACAACTTTCTTGTACATGATAGACACTAATCCCCTGTAGTGCCCACAAAAAGGCCTGTAGTTAATACTTTCCATGGAATAATTATATTTGGGGAAAAAAAATAACTAGCAGCTGACTCAAATCAGAAATCAAAGTTAAAACACACACACACATCTCTATATAAACAATGCAGCCAGCTAAAACAAACATTCATGAGAGTTGGTCATTGAAATTTATGTAATACTGCATTGGCAACAAGACTCGATGAACTTGTAAAACATATATATATATATATATATATAATTAAAAATAATCCATAGTGAGAAAGGGGCAACATTTGATGTGAAAATCCCCACGTAAGAGCTATGCAATGAAATATAATAAAGATACATACTAATACTGCTATTTTCTTAATAACCGCTGCTGGATTTGAGTTCAATCCTTTTACTAGTGCCACCACCAGTTGCTTTAACATGGATAGCTTTTTATCTTTTTCTGCATCCACAACAATGATATCAGCCCTAAAACCCTCTCCTCCCAAAGCAAGAAGCTCTTCCAAAGTAGGAATATTATGAAAAAGCTCCTTGAGTCTTTTCTCCTGCACATTATCAAACCAGAGTTAGTAACAATAAAATGAATTGGAAAAAACATTTAAATTTCATATCAAAAACTCCGCCTATGTTTATAGCCGGTCCCAAGCCCGGGTAAAGGAGGAGGGTTGTGTTAGGCCATTAATAGCCAATGTAAAAATTTGTTGAATCTATCATGAACATGGACAATAGACGTTATAATGTTAATACTAGGTCGTTGCCCGTAAGTAACGCGCTGCATGGCTCGAGTACAGTGATAAGTGAGTTAGAGCCGCTGCATCGGCGCCCGAATGTAGTGTTAAATGAACAAGGGCTACCGCGTCATTCTGGACGCACGCGGCTAAAGAAGTTAGTCCATAAGAGCAAAATTAGATTTGGTACTTGGAATGTTGGGACATTAAATTGTAAATCTGTAGAGGTTGTAGGGGTTATGATTCAAAGGAAAATCAATATCCTTTGCTTGCAAGAAACAAAATGGCGTGGAGAAGAAGCTAAGGATATTCAAGGTTTCAAACTTTGGTATACAGGAAAAGTAAGTGCACGCAATGGAGTAGGCATCATTATAGATAAGGGGTGGAAGAAGAACGTTGTAGAAGTTAGCAGAATTGGAGACAGATAAAAATGATAATTGGACGTGAGACTGTTAATATTGTTAGCGCTTATGCGCCGCAAGTCGGGACAGAAGCCAGCCTTAAGGAATTATTTTGGGAGGATCTGGAGGGGTTGATTCGACACATACCACAAAGTGAAAAGATTTTTATTGGAGGAGACTTTAATGGGCATGTCGGGAAGGAAGCTGGTCAGTATGCGAGGGTGCATGGTGGTTTTGGTTTTGGAGAGCTAAACAATGAAAGACAAACTCTTCTTGATTTCTCATTGGCGTATGATTTTAAAATTGCCAACACTTGTTTCAAAAAGAGAGATGAGCATCTCATCACTTACAAAAGTGGAGCCTCAAGGGCACAGATTGATTTTCTTTTGGTTAGGAACACAGATAGAAAACTTTGTAAAAATTGTAACGTGATCCCCGGAGATGCTGTAACGACACAACATAGGGTCCTAGTCCTTGATGTGTGTATTATGAGTAAAATCCAAAAACGTCGACAAGTAGTAACACCAAAGATTAGGTAGTGGCAATTAAAAGGTGAGAAGCAAGATATTTTCAAGCGAAATCTTTTGGATAAAGGAATTTGGGATTCTCAGGGAAGTGCTAACATCATATGGAAGGATATGGCTAAAAAGATACGGGAGGTTGCAAAAGTAGTTTTGGGAGAATCGAAAGGTTCTGGTCCAAGAGATAAGGAGTCTTGGTGGTGAAATAATAGTGTACAGGACAAAATCAAGTATAAGAAGAACTGTTTTAAAGCTATACATTTGTGTAACAATAAGGAAAATTGGGAGAGGTACCGTGTAGCTAAGAAGGAAACTAAGAGAGCTGTGGGTGAAGCTCGTTCTAAAACTTTTGAAGAATTTTATAAGAACCTTGAGACGAAGGAAGGAGAGCAAAATATTTATAAGATTGCCAAGAGTAGGGAAAGAAAATCAAGAGATCTAGAACAGGTAAGGTGTATTAAGGATGAAGAGGGAAGAATTTTAGTTACAGATGATGAAATTAAAAATAGATAGGAGACTTATTTTTCTAAACTTTTCAATGATGGAGAGGATTCATCTAGTAACTTGGAGGATTTAGTAACTGGTGAAGGAGAACAAAATTTATCATTCTATGGAATAATACGTGATAAGGAGGTAAAGGAAGCTCTTAAGAAAATGGCAAATGGTAGAGCCAACGGACCTGATTGTATATCTATCGAAGCGTGGAAATGTTTAGGTAAAGAAGGGGTGAGATAGTTAACTAAGTTATTTAATGTGATTTTACGGTCCAAGAAAATGCCTGATGAGTGGAGGAGAAGTACATTAATTCCTATTTATAAAAATAAAGGAGATATTCAGAATTGTACTAATTATAGAGGGATTAAACTCATGAGCCACACAATGAAATTGTGGGAGAAAGTAATTGAGCACAGGTTGAAATTGGAGACAAGTATTTCTGAGAATCAATTTGGTTTTATGCCAGGTAGATCAACTACAGAGGCAATTTATCTACTAAGGGGATTAATGGAAAAGTATCGTTGTAAAGATAAAGATCTACACATGGTTTTTATTGATTTGGAAAAAGCTTATGACCGTATACCAAGAGAAGTGTTTTGGAAAGCGTTGGAAAAAAAGGGAATACGGATTGCTTATATTAAAGCCATACAAGATATATATGAGGGGGTAAAAACTAGTATAAGAATGCCTAGTGGTCAAACAAAGGATTTTCTTATAAAGATTGGACTATATCAGGGATCATCTCTGAGTCCTTATTTGTTCAACTTGATTTTAAATGTTTTGACGGAACATATTCAAGAGGAAATCCCAAAATGTATGCTCTTCACGGATGATATAGTACTTATAGCAGAGACAAGAGAAGAGGTTAATTGCAAACTTGAGTTATGAAGGAGGACATTGGAGTCGAAAGGTTTTCGTCTGAGTAGAAGTAAGACGGAATATTTATATTGTAAATTTGGTAAAGGATTATTCGAAAATAATTTGGAAGTGAAATTGGGAGATCAAATTATACCTCAAGTGGAAAAGTTTAGATATTTGGGAGCCATTATTCAAAATGATGGCAAAATCAGTGGAGATATTTCACATAGAATTCAAATTGGGTGGTTTAATTGGAGAAAAGCTAAAGGAGTTATTTGTGACCGTAAGGTGCCTAATAAACTTAAAGGAAAGTTTTATCGCACTGCTATCAGATCGGCAATGTTATATAGTAGTGAATGCTGGGCTCTAACGGGACAGCAAGAGCATAAAGTTGGAGTAGCAGAGATGAGAATATTACGATGGATGTGCGGACATACACGTAAAGATAAAATTCGAAATGAGCACATACGCGAAAAAGTGAGGGTGGCACCTATTGAGGAAAAAATAGTAGAAAATCGTTGAGATGGTTTGGGTATGTACAAAGAAGACCAAGGGAGGCACCAGTGAGAAGAGTGAAACATATAACTTTGAGTGCGATTAAGAGAGGTAGAGGAAGGCCTAAGAAAACACTCTTGAAAGTTGTTGAACGCGATCTCTTAATTAATAATATTCCTAAAAGATTGATAAATGATAGAGCACAATGGCGTCTTGCAATCCATGTAGCCGACCCCACCTAGTGGGATAAAGGCTTGTTGTTGTTGTTGTTGTTGTATCAAAAACTATCTAGAGCAAACAATAATACAGTAATGAATGAGCATTATATAAGTTATTAAACAACATTGTCAGTCTCTATTTTTTAAAGCTACGCTTTTAGTTTGTAAAGAATCGCAAAAATTTCTATTAAAGATAAGTAACCATAAGAACTTGAAAAGACAGATATCAAACAGCACAAACATCAGATTCCATGTTTAAAATTTAAACCAAAAAATCCATAAAATTCCTAAAAAGGTAGAGTCCTACATTCTGATAAACAATTTACAGAACGATTACTTAAGAATTAAAACAAGAGATAAAAAACCAATATTATATTTGAAGTTTTTTTTTTTTTAATAAAATCATTTCTAGCAAGAGAATGGGACATATGCGAAGGTAATACATGAATTGAACCTCACCGGAATGACTGAATAAAACCCATTTGGTATTGGTTCTGAAAGCATTCCAGTGCGCCAGAGAGTTTGAGATGCTTTATGAGGTGACAAATCACCTTGCTCTGAATGTCTAGGTGATTCTTTATTGTTTAAGGCCTCATCTTGAGATCCCAAAGAAACAGATCCAAATTTTTCAACGAAATCTGAAGGCCACCATGAAGCATTAGAGGGCCCTTGCTCTGCAGACCCTGAATCTTCTCGTGTCTCCGACATGTTCTAATATATTTGGAATGTATAACCATTTCGCTTCACTTCTCAACCCTCAGAGATGTCTCCATGTTGAAAGTGGTCATCAAACAGTAAATAATTGAAGTATATACCTCAGTAACTCCACTTGCTCCAAGCTGGAGGCCATATGACCTGCAAGAACCAAATTAAGGTATATGAAATAAATGGAAAAGCAGCAGTAGGATATAAGAGGACAAGCAATTTTCAAATAATCAAATTCCACATTCAAATGAAGCACCAAGCAGATCTAGAAAATTGCAAAATTTTTAAAAATGCTCAACCTCCACCAATTATAATAAGCACACATGGTACTGAGTAATAATTTCAAAGCAAATATGGTTGATATTATTATTTCAGAAAAGTTTAAAAAAACAACCGCTACTGCCTTCTTGGATAAGGGGAGAAAGATTGAGGAGTCATGCAACACTCTAGAAAAATTTTGAACAAGAAAAGAAAAACTTTATGGTGGTGTGACATTCTTGCAAATCTAATTCATGCAAAATGCTATTAAATACCAAATCACATCTTAATCCTTAAAATATTATGGAATAAACAGTTTCTATGCATTCACTTTGATGCCCAATGCTTTTAAAGAAACCTCCTCAGATAAGGGGAGACAGATTGAGGAGTCAATGTACACTACTAACAAGCTTGTTTGTTGTGATTTTGCTTTGCCCTTGCGAAGGAGAATAGCTTATCTCCATTTCTTATTTACTCTCCAATAATATATTTCTTCCATTAAAAAAAAAATCTAATATTTCTTCTGAATGATAAGAGTCTCTAGAACTATGCATTCCTTAGTTCCGAATATGATTCTCTAAGCTTCCAAGGGAAAAATAATGCAGTTACCTCACATTTGACCACAAAGATTTGAATTACACACAAAATCAGCAAGGTAAGTTCTACTAGACCGCATAGCAATCCTTAAACCCAAAGATTTACCCTGACATAAACATAATGTACTCATTAATGCCATAACTACTAATTATAAATAATCATTTTGCTGTTTATTCTACATCCAAAGGCAAAATGCCTATCTACGAAATATAAACAATACTATTAGAGTAACTGCAGTTGCCGCAACCCTACCCACAAGGCAGCTTCTCTGACCTGATTTTCCAGCCTAAACCTGTTATTGATGTCTCAAACATGTGGAACTCATTCCTTCCTGTGGTGATGTACATTTTTCCTCTAATAGTCTATTACACTCTAACCCTTCAATTATTTTATACATGAAATGAAAATGAAAGTTTTATTTAATAATTTGCATTACATCCTTCTGTTGGGTATACAGGACTTGTACTGAACTCTGATACTGTCTTCTTTCAAATTTCTTCACATTGTTCATTAGAAAAATAATAAAAGAATAAAACACAAAGTCTTTGAGGCCTGAAAGATTACTTCTAAAAAGTCACTTCTAATTATTGTGACCAACATATATGGCTGTTCATTTTTCAACAGTCGTCTATTTTCATGTCAATGGACACATGATGGATCGAAATATCTTTCATTTAACATACCTAATAAAATTTAACAGTTGCGTCTGTTTAAAATTAATTAACAAACATGTCTAATTAAATTCTAACAGTTACAGCTCTTTGACTCCCAATCCAATGTGAGTTTAAAACCTCACACATACAGTATTTTACATACTATCCAACACATTGTTCCGTTATACAATCTTCATAATCATCATCAATCATCCAAATAAATCAAGCCATCGCAACCTGAGTCTTATGTCTTCTCTCCGTGCTCAGCTGTTTTTTTATTTTTCCATGTTGTCTTCCCTTTTAGGTAATCTTCACTTGTTGGAGAAACAGAAGGACAGGGAAAGTATCAGATTCTATGTGAACATATTTCCTTTTATTTCATTTTTTAATCAATGGCTAAAATCATCTCTTTGGCTGTAATTTTTCAAGGATTTTTATATTTTTCTTATTCATTTTGTTAAGGATTGGGTAAATTTTCAATCGTACAGCTACGGTGCATCACAGGGAATTATAGCAACTTCAGTAACAACAATACAACTCAGAAACCGCGTAGTGTGGAAATAGTGTCGTCATACCTCAGATTTGGGTTTTAAGACACATTGGATCAAATTACTGATCATGAGGGAAACTAACTCGTCACTTCCAAAGAGAAGCTGCTTATTTGAAAAACTATCTCCAGTTACTTCAAGTCAGCCAAAAGTCAGAAAAAGGGCCAAAAATTGGACCGTATCCAAACATTGCTAAAAACTCATGGCCACAGAGACAGAAGGATGCTTCAACAAAGAATCCTAAACTACAGCTACTGAATTTATATTGTGAAGTGAGAGAGATTAAAACCCAAATACAATGATCACGGACAAGTGAGAAATAAAATGAGTCATATACCGCCAGCAGATCCAAGCATTAGACCCCAAATCACGTGTTTCAGCCAGTAGCATTTAAATCTCAATTCCTCCGCATCAAGTGCCTCGCCGCCCAGATATCCCCCGGAGAAAACTGAAGCCGAACAAACACCAATATAAGTACGGAGAGAGAGAAAGGGAGAGAGACAGAAAGAAGAGTGGCGGAAGCGAGGAAATGAGAGAGAGAGGGATTTGATATCTGGGTTGTTGATTGATGGAAGAAGAAAGCGATGGGTGTGTTCAGAGAGAGAGAGAGAGAGAGAAGAGAGCTGAGGACCCAGGGGCGAGGAAGAGTTAAGAGTGTGGAAGAGCATGAGAGAGGTGGTGAGTCACGTGCAGGGCGAGAGGGATCTGGGGACCTCTCTCCGGCAGCCAGCTAGCAAAAGGGGTTGGCTCACCAACATCCACACCTTCGTCCTCAGTCTCACCAACGTAAAAAGGAAACCTTCTCTGCTTTTTCTTTTTTATTTTCCTTTTTCTCTTTCTCTCCTCTTCCTTTTCCTTTTAACCTCTCGTATATTCGGCTCATACTACCATTAATTGGGTCGGTACAACCTCAACTATTGACCACGTAAAAGTCAATCAGATTAAATGCTTCTCCACATAAAGATAACAGCCTTTGAAACGCAACACAATTACATAGGTTGCGTCATCTCAAGGGATCTATCTTTCCCCTGTAAACCTTATTTTTAAAAATTTAAAAACAATTTACATTTTTCTAGAATAATGTAATTATATGCTCCTCCAATGTTAAATATAAAATATTATTAAATTTTAAATGAGTCTCATAATTAAAGGCCGTTAACAAACTCATTCCTTTAAAAAAAAAAATCATAGTACCGTTTTTTTTAAATCCACACCTATTCAAATTTGTTTGAAAATTGAAAAACACAATTATGGTTGAACTATATTTCTTCACCTACTATTGCATTAATTGAATAGAAGTGGGCTTGGCTAATAAATATTACTTTCTTTGTTCACAAATATAAGACCTTATTTGATATATAAGAATCTTGAATATTGAAACGAAATTAGAAATAGATTTTAGGTTGGGGCATATTTGTCATACCAAAATTAAAATTATCAAGAATTTTGATTCTGGCTAAAAATCCTGAATTAGATTTCATTTTTAGAGCCATGGAATTCACATCTTTAACCCACACTTCCCACTCGATTCTTCTCTTCATTTTATTCATTCATCCTTTTAATTAATTCTTCATGCTTGAACAACGATCAAGTGACAAGAAGAGAAAACTAGTAATGATGATTCTTAAAATTCTAGCAAGGGGGATAGTGAATAGTATCTGTGCAATGATGGATCTATAACTTTGGATCTCGTTCTAACATGGTCAATCTAATAAGGGTATTCGGTGGATTGGCTTATGATTTTGGGTGGATGATTTTAGATTATGACTGAAACTCACAACATGATTCAAGAAGCTGAAGTTCCCATAAGAAATTGTTTTAGCGATGAACTCAGCAATAACAAAGGACCCATCGCCGTATGACACCACGTACATACACTTGCTGCTCTAACAAGCTAAGATCAAAGAAGATGCAGCAGAAAGTGGGCCTGTTGAGTTGCTAGATTTCGAAGATGGGGATGAGTTTAAACAAACAAACAAAAATTGAAAGGGCACTATGATCCTTTCTTATTTTAAATATATATACTTATTAAAATTATAACATGATTTATATCAAATATATTTTTAAAACTAAATTCTATTCTAATATCATAAAAAATCTTTTTATCATAGCAAAAGAGGTTTAAGATATTTTTATAAAAAAAAAAGCACATTAATAGCTACAAAACAAAGAGGGAGACTAATTTTGTACTGGTTTGGTACCATCTAGGTGGCCCCTTTTGGTCAATGGGCTCCAGCCATTCAAAACCTCGATGGGGAGCTGCCACGCACGTGGGGAATTATAATCCAGCATGTTGGTGATTATCATATATATAATTATACATATATTTATAGACATTTAATTGTTTTCTTCTCTGGCCTTGTCTACAATCAAGTACACAGCATAACTCCATAGACTGTAATTATACGATCGCAGGATCGATGTAAAATGGGTTTCTCCAGTAACTTTTTAAGTGTTTTAATATGAAAAATTAAACTTATAAATTGACTGCCACGAATTCATTTGTGTGATTGCGTCAGCTTTCTTGCGTCAATGAACACATTAATTTCCAACTAATATGGTTGCATACATGGAATAAAATTATAGAAAAATAATAATAAAATTTCTCTAAAATATATAAACAATAATTTGATCCCTCAAAATGTCATAATTTTTTAAAATCTTTGAAGACTTTTATATTGTTAATAAATTTATATAAATTATTAAATTATTCTTGTTAAAAATAAATAATTCACAAGTTTTATTTAAATATTCACAACTTTCATTCTTATATTCATAATAATGTAATAATAAATAAATAATTTAACATGTAAAGTTATGATTTGTTATTGCATTGTTGCAAATATGAGAAGGAAAGTTGTGAATATTTAAATAAAATTTAAAATTATTTATTTTCAACAAAAATAATTTAATAATTTATATAAATTTATTAATGATCAAAAAGTCTTGAAGGATTTTAAGAAAATTATTATATTTTAAATGGTCAAATTATTATTTATATATTTCAAATGCACTGTATTGTCATTTTTCTAAAATTATAATGTTCAGCAATAATAAAGATAATTAACTTATTTTACATTAAAAAGATGAATTTTTTTTAACATTAAAAAGATGAAATGTTTTTTTAATTAAAAACTCTAATCTAATAACTCATGGTTTACATTGTAAATGTAAATTAATTGCTAGATTAGACTATACTATGGGCATCAAGCTTAGCTTGAGCCTTGAGGGTGTGTTTGGTTTAACAGAAGGAAAGAGAATTTAATAGAAGAGAGGGGAGGGTTTTGATATTACTTTATTTAGTTCAGGAGGATAGAAAAAAAAATATATATAAATAACTTTACCCTTATATTATTAAATTTTTTCTAATAAAACATAGTTGTGATTATAAGTACATAGAGTAATTATTATTATTAAATATATTATTAAAAATCTATCACTATTAAACTTGCTTAAAAAAATGAAAAATAGTAATTAAAAGAATGAACATATTGGTCATTATATAACAAAAATATACTCTCACCTCCCAATTTGAACAGGATTTTCCTTTCTCTCCTCTCTTTTTCATTTTTCCAAACAAAAAAAAAAAAGAAGGGGAATAAAATTTCTCCCCTCTCCTTCCCTTTCCAAACCAAACGGACTCCTATGGAACACAATTTGAACAATTTGAAGTCCTGTAAAATAACTTCTCTTATAAGTATTGTATTATAATTGAAAAGGAAGATTTGACTTTTTTGTAACAATATGCATTTTAAAATTTTAAGAAAAGAGAGTTAATCTCATCTTCGTTAAAATTATATGTCGATCATATGCATGAAATTTTAGGTAAATTACATTCACATAAATTTTATATCATGAATGTATACGACAATACCATGCACTACCATACGTTATATTCTATATTAATGTATGGTTATTGAATTTAATAAGAGAGCTATTATTAATTTGAATTAACAATATACAAATTTGATTTACCAATGCTTATAAAAACAATACATTGTCTTATTAAATTATTGTTATTATACACTCTCTTTTTTTTGCCAGAATAGTTGTATACACTGAGCTATTTACTTCTTGGGGGCCAGGGCACACGTGAGGAGTTATTTAATATTTATTATTAAATATTACTTTTTTATCTTATTTATAGAATAAAAAATATTTGTTTTAGTTTTATTTATAACTTATCACAATAATTATTATGTTAACCTTTACTTTTTTGCTTTTATTAAATATTAAGAAGATTATTAAATGTCAAAATATCCTATTAAGTCATCAATATCGATAGTATTGTTAAAAACTTGTTAAAGTTTCTTTTAATTCTGATAAAGTATATTTAAAGTGACGTGTAAATATAATAGCAGAGGCTCGATAAATAAATCAAATCTATTTTGGATCATGGTTAAGTCTGATCAGAAACTTCCACGTACCATTTGGCCGCCTCTGGGTTGGTATTGTTGTCAAATCAATCAAATACACGGCATGTTACAGTGAATAAAAAGGCTGGTCAATTTATTTATAAACTTTAAATGGCCATGGATACTGTTGAATCTTTAAATGATTAATGTAACTCCGAACGGTGAAATGTTGGCCTGTTTATTCAGATTGAACTAATGTAGCGGGGAACGATCCACTTATGTTTGTGTTATTACCAACTGTAGAAAGAGCTAGACATCTATTTAATATTTATATATAATTAAAAAAGATATCTTTTAGAAAAAACTTCATTGGTAACAATAACATAGACGATAACTGTGTGTCTGCGTGTGTGTTGAGACGAGACTGGGTCTTCCTCCTACTTGAAAAGTGGAAAGAGAGTAGGTAAAGCAAATTTGACCGGTCAGCGAGCTGTAGGCGTGATGGCTAACAATCAACAAAACTAACTGGAATGTCAACGTTGTGTTCAATCACTTCGGTTTTGATGGACACTAACCTTATTAGTCAATCCAAATTGTGAAAGCGATCTCCTAAGCTACCCCCTTTGGCCAATACACTTGACAATGACACGCTCTGCCTTCAAAGTTTAAATTTATTTCGTTATTTTCGATTTCAGTTTAAATTTTTATAAATTTTATAATAGATTACGCTTAAAATTCATATACCGTCTCGATAAACCCTAATATAATTAATTCAAGCAGCAAATCTCTAAGTTTAAATGTCACGGGAATTAAATTCCCCGCCAACACATTGCTTATACTTAAATAGGTTGCTTATCAATACTTCATGTCAATGAAAATTATAGTGATACTATTAACTAATGAAATGTAATACATGCCCCAACAACAACAACAATTTATTTTTTATTAAGAAAGGAAAGATCCAAAACAATGATCTCTTAATACAAAAGGCCAATTGGGTCACACCTAAATTATTATCTTCTAAAATCTTCTTCAACTCATTAGAAGGCTCAGTCAATAGGTGTTGTCCCATATCAAGATCGAGTGCAAAGGATGCTAAGAAATTTGCACCTTTGTTGCCTTCACAATATATGTGATTCACATTGACTTGCCAATCATAATTTAGCAAATAATGTATTCACCTGATCAATCTGCTATAGTCATTGGTTTGAGTATTTTCCTGTGCAAGAAGGTTCACTACTAGCATATAATTGACATTTAGTTTGATTTTTCTAGACCCTTGTTCACATGCCATATGTAATTTATTAACAGTAGCCCATAATTCAACTTGTAGTGAGGTGCATGTTCCAATTTCTACACAAACCCCATATCCAAGTGCCATCTTTCATCACATAAGAGACTACTCGCTCTTGCTCTTCCAGTAGTGC